ATGATGCCATGTGTCTTTTCACCTGAGCACCAAGACTTCTCATGTGAACTCCTCAAAATCTAGCACACGCTCATACAGTTCCTCATTCTGATCTTCCCTCCCTATCCATACTCCATGCCCCATGAATAAAACAGATTTGTTTTGCGGGCTTCAATCAAAACTTACGTATATTGACTTGTCCCTTCCAGTCCTTTCTGTGTGTTAGCCGTTCTTTTCTGTGCCAGGGTGTGACTAGCTAGTAACTGCATCCTCTGCCAATGGCACGTTATTAGACAGTTACTGAAAATATAATGCTATCGCCTAATAGTGATAAATCTAACATTTCTGGGAGATGATGTAGGTGGGCTAGCAACTCCATGGGGCGGGAAGAGTAGGGATTAATTACTGTGTCCTTCAAATTGTACTTGCTAAATAGCCTCTCTTAGCCCTCCTTCACTGCTAGAACTACCTAACAGAGAGGAGTGACTCAGGGTGCCCTCTTGTGGTGGACAGACGTTCCCAAGGCCCTTTTCTGGAATGAGAGGTAGCCCTAGAACTGTCCCTTTATTATTTAGATTTTGTTGTCATCATTAGCAACATCTCCCAATTCAAGAATCTAGAAATAATATAATGAGATGCTAAAAACAAATTTGAAAACAAGCAAGATCTGTCTCTAGTTTTAATAAATATCCCACATTTCTCAAATGTTTTATTGTTTTGTTTCTTCAGCATACAGACCAGTATTTAAAAAGAACAAATAGCTTGAAACTGTTTCTTTTGAATATTTCTGTCATCTGGAAATGCCTGTACATAAGCCCCATGACAGATCTGCTTGGCTGAAAAATCTGTTGACATGTTACCAGCCCTCAGAATAGAAGAGAGAGCCAGCATCCCATGATTCTAGGGGGAAAACATCCAGCCCTGGGAAAATAGCACATTAGCTGAAACACAGCAATCTAAATATGTAACTTCCATGGGTGATAAATACTCTGTGTGTGACTCTCATAATTTTATAACCCAAAACAGATTCTTGTAAATATCAAGATTATGTTTCTTTTACTAACACAGAGTCCAAACTCTGCCATTCTAGGACTCAACACAGGATTAAATTTGACAGAATCAGTTGTGCAACTTTATAAAAATTAAGAAACCTGAGCCACACCACTGAATGGTCTGATTCAGAAAGTCTGGGGGAAAGTTCCAACATTAGTAATTTTTTAAATAATTCTCTGAGTGATTGTGCTATACAATAAGGGCTGAGAGTAACACTATACTGTCCCCTTGAAGTAATGCTGTGGCGACTATGGAAGGGGCTCTCCGCATTTGTTTGTAAATTTATTTCAAGGTAGTGAGCTATTCAGGATGTGGGCAGTCATGCTGTAGGTCACATTTCAGGGATCTTCAGAGTTGACCTAGCTTGCTGAGGACAAGGACATGTCTTATTCTTCTTCCAGTCCTCCGGATCTAACACTACACCTGGCACAGACTTGGCTCATGAATATTTGTTAAATGGAATGTTAATTGGAGTGTCCAAGACCTCTCCCTAGGAATGGAAGATAATTTAAGATTCAAGAGAGTTCTACTAAACAACTGATATCATATATCGTAAAGTGCTTTGAAAACTGCAAAGAGCAAACATTATTCTAGAAGGAAGGATTATTTAAAATATGTCACCTATAATAGCCTCTAAATTTTAATATGCATAAGAATGAGTTGAGTTTTTCAAAGTCATCTTTTTTCCAATTTTTCCCATCTCCTTTCCAATGAAAGTAGAAATACAGTACCCCTTTACTGGTAAATATCTTTAAAGAGTAAAGCAAGAAAGGACTGAAAAACTATACAAGCAAGAAGTCGGAAGCCACCCAGTCTCATGCACAGCCAGTGTCGTCATAGCATTAAGAGATTAAATAAATAACTGCTTTGTGATGCTTCAAGATTTTCCTGCCAACAGGATACTGTAAATTAAATGTGTACTAGCATGCTAAAGGCAAAGTTGGTGCATTTATCCCTGGATTTTTTTTCAACCACTAAGTTAAAATCCTTTTGTCTTCGTATTTTGACCCAGGATTTATATAGCTGAAGACACAAGCCTCTTTAGATAAATAGTCATCAAGATAAATACTCTGCTATATGACTCCTATGTTATACTTGGAAGATGGAGTATCATCTCCCTCATTTGAACTTAGAAGAAAACTGAATTTAAAATTTAACAAAGCCAGAAATCAACCTCTTATGACCAAAACTCTTATCCCTTTATTCTATCCCCTTCCCTTGAACTCCTTGGAGTTTTGAACTTCAAGGCACTCCACGAGGAATGAGAAGACCTGGCTTCTATTCCTGGCATTTCTAGTAAGTGGCTTTGTGACCTTGGGCAAATGACTTAACATCAGGTCCTCTTTCCTCAGCTGTAAAATGAGAAGGATGGCTAGATGATTTCAGAGGTTCTTTCTGGCTCTAAATTTCTATAAGTCTAGAAACACCTGCTAGTGACATTTATGCACTCAGTACTCCTTTTTCACTCTTTCCAAAATGTTTTAGTTTGTGGCTTAATATCATTATTCATATAGACCTTTTCACATCCTCTCCAGGATTTTCTTTTTTGTTTCTTGACAGCAGCTGTTGTTTCTACATTTACTTTACACTGTCTTATTATACACATTATTTTTACATATTTGTTATGGATTGAAATAGGATTAGTGTGTCATCGGATTCTTCCAAATTCTCTCCAATACATAGAGCAATCATTTGGGTCAATTTAGTATTTGAAGGTTTAAATATTTAAATGGTTTAAAAGTAGCCTGGATTATGTAACAAATTGCATCTTTTCCATAAGATTTTCAGCATTCTGACATCTGCTTGAAAATGTCAGGCACTTTTATTTAAGTCTGAATATCACTATATGGCTGAGTACACCAGCATCAGTCTTTTAAATCCCTTCATTTTATGTACATAACAGTAGGAACTTTTCTTAAAACAAAAGCTTTTAGTGGAAAGGTTCAAAAATACCTGTGCAGAATATTTATTGCCTTCGTATGCCATCGTCTAATTGTGTGACTTTATTTCTTTTGGGTATGAAATATAGCATGGAAATTTTAGCTAATATATATTTTTAAAAATTCAACAGAAAGGGTTTGTAAATACTAGAATAAGTGGTAGACTTGGAGTGAAATTCTTGTCAAAGTCTTTCCCTAGTTTTTGAATCTATATATAATTTTGTGTCAACTTTACCATGATAAAAAACAAATGAATCCCCTGCAGTAAATAATTACTGGGACATCCATGAAAAAGGGCAGTGAAATAGGTACTATTGAGTGATAGTATAGAGTATAGCTTAACATAATTTCTCCTATAACTTAGCCACATATTATCTGAAGTTCTGATAGGATTTAGAAACAGTCTTAATTTTACAAAGGACACGTGGAAATTAAGAAATCTAGAGAGGAAGAGAGGGTAGGGGGAACACTGTTATTAGGTAATTCTGTAGAGATGCTTTGAGGCAATCCCCCCAGGATCTTCCTCCTGTCCTCATAAGGATGGAGGCAGAAATGAGCTAACATATCTTGTGTGCCCGGCACTCATACTCTTACAACAATTTCATGAAGTAAATATGATTATCCCTTTATAGAAGAAACAGAAACTCAAAGTTCACACAGATAATTGGTGGCAGTGGGATTGAAACCAAGATCTCTGTGACAAAATTCAGAGTTGCAAGAAACTGGTTCCAATCCCTACTTCTCTGCATGGGTGTGCGTTTCTGTGCACTTCCGCAAACTACCTTACCTCTCTGAGTCACCGTTTTATCAGTAAGATTGGGTTAACAATACTTAGAGACATAGTTGCTCTGAGGGTGAACTATGATAAAGATATATTCAGAGTACTTAGCACAGAGACTTGCAGAGAGCTATCCCTCCATGAGTAATCACTATTAGTACTATAACTGTTATTGTTGTTGTTATTGATTTTGAGATTATGATGCCAGGCTTTCAAGACACAGAGTATGATTTCATTCAATTGTCCTACATGTACTAATGTCCTACTATGAGCAGGTTATTATTCTTAAACTTTTTAGCTCCCCATGAAATATTTATCTGAAAGCAAGCAAAAATAATGTGAAAGTGAAGATGTAATGCTTTAACGACCACACAGAGGAAGTTCTTCAGACTTGATGATAAGCCTTATTATTTAAACTCTTATCTAGGTTATTTTGAGAATTAGACACAAATTGCTCTAGATGCTTTCTTTAACTCCATTAAACCAAACATGAGCAGATGCATGTGTGTACAAGTTCACACACAACCTGGAAATGTTGCTGGGGGGGATTTCCAGGACAGATGGATCTGGTTATGGTTTAGGGAGCCTCTCCATGCACTTGGGCTGCAGCACACCTCAGTTGAAAACAAGCATGTGAGTATCTCATTGGTTTTTTCCTTCCCTTAATAAGTATCATCCTTTCCCATGGGCTCCAGTTTTTTCTAGCAGAAAGACATTACTACCACTGTAGATATAGGAAGCAAGCTATCATAGAATCACAAAGAGCTAGGAGGTTGGTGTTTGTATACGTCCCATTTCTATTTTATTTAAAGACAGAAGTTTTTAAATCTTTTTGAGATCCTATATATCTTTTGAGATCGCAAATCTTTTGAGATCATATATCTATAAAATTGCTACATGTGCTGTTCTGCCACATCCAGACACCAACTTCTAAAGGCACTGAAAAGTGCATTCTGACACGAGCTGAGAAGGGGAAAGAGAGAGATGCAAGGAGATAATTCTTGCCTGTAAAAAAGGAGTTTACTTTTCCAAATAAAAGAAATCTAAAATGGGCCCCTGTCTTTGTGTGCTGTTAACACCAGCTCTTTTGGAGAGTTTGAAAATGCTCGGCTCCATGATAAAAGCTAAAAATGTCCTGGACCTGGAGTTGTTTACCCAGAGTACGAGCTGCTCTAAAGTTACAGAGCTCTGGTTGGAAGCGGTGGCTGGAATGCCGCCTCCGAGTCACTGACGTCACAGTAGTCTCAGCTGCCGCTGTGATACTGAATTGAGCAGCTTCGTGACTCGTGAAAGTGGTGAAGGTTCCAAAGGGACTTGTCAGTACCGCTCTGTTGAATGGCCGGACTTATTTTGCATTCCCATTTCTTGCAAAGAAGCAAGATTCACCAAGCTGAGACTTTTCTCTTGAAAACAACTAGCTATCCTTCCATTGCTAGGTTGACCACTGGTCGAACATCCATAGGATTTCTCGCTGGAGCAAAAAGGTATGTTTCTTTCGGGCAGTTTGAATGCAAGTGACTAATTGTGGCAAAATATGGAGGGACTGCTGCTGTCGTGTTTTAAAGTGTGGATACTATTTAAGTGGAGGATGATTTCAACATCTGTCTGTTTCAGTGTCTGTGTCTGGGCTTGAAAACGGTGGGGCGGGGTGTGTAATGGATTTTACTGACTCCCGGGGAAGAGAGGGTTCAGCTGCTGTGAGTGGATTTCTCAGCTCTGGACTGATGGTGCCATCCGCTCTCTGAGACAGTGTTTTTCAAACACGGCTTCTCAATACTTTGAACAGCACTTTGCCTACCGTGGGATTTCTCTAAATATATTTATTAGAATGCTACTTTCATTAGGATGAAGACTTTTTAACATTTGCAAAGTAGAGTTCACAACCCTTGAGATTGCTGATATTTGAAAATTGCAATGAAAAATAAATGTAGTCATCCAAGATGATGGTTTGCTCCCTGCATGGTGAGTGTTTCTGTAATTTGAGTTAAGTGCATGCCATTCATAATGGGTTCATCTGCAATTAGGAGAGAACCTTACCACTACATCTTCTGTTTAAACTGGTTAATTTTAGATATTTGTTTACCCAAGCTGAAAATTTCTTTCAAAGCCTCTATTTTATAAGTTAAGAGAAGTAAAATCAGTGCACCTATATCTTGGATGTTTTCTAGTTTGAGTGTATAAGTGGAGAGAAAACAAGGAAGGAGAAGATAATAAAATGAGAATGCAAAGTTGGTTTCTTTGGAATTGCATGTGGCAGTATTGGAATATGAAGAACATGCTGAAATAGCGAGAAATGGTATAAAATAATAAAATATTTTATAAATATATTTATATATTTATATAATATATAAAATATTATATAAAATAATAAAAAATATTCCCTTTTGCCCTGTAACAAAATCAAATCATGGTTGTCTTTGGAAAGATGCATTTGCCAGAGAACAATAAGGGACGAATAAGGTCTGTTAATCAGTTGAAATGATGCAGGTGACTCATAGTAGCCTGGATAAAGGGCTAGAGAAACTTGGAGGCAAATGGTGCATAACTCTGATGGGTATGGGTGTGGGGATCCTAATTCCTCAAAGTTCAGAGGAAGCAAAGCATCTCCAGGGCAATGATTCTTCCAGGAATTGTGAGATTGACAGCACCTACTCTGTGTGGCATTCCTATTGGAATATGTAATCTCCTACAAATGAAAAATCTCCAGTTATCCGAAAACTAATATGTTTAGAAAAAGGAAGTAGGAGAGCAAGAAACAAGTATTCTGAACAAAAATCTCAGAAGAGAGAAGTAACATCGGAGTCAGCTCCCCTAACACTGTTTCATTTGTCTGGCTGAAGTCCAGTTTTCAGTGGGGGAGTGGGATCTTGAAATGGTAACGACCAAGGTGTAGTAAGAATGGAACACCCCTCCCACAAAGAAGTGTGATCGTAACCAAATTGAGGCTAATGTGGGAAATGAAAATGAGTTATTGTGAGACTCCTGTGGCACATTAAATCTGCTTACTAGTAGGGCTGGAAGGTTGGCAGAACTATTTTCTTCCCCTCACCGCACTTATGCAGCCCACTCACAACTCTACCGTTCTGGCTTCCGGCCGTGGGGAGGGGGAAATGGGTTGAAATGGATTAGGGAAGGCTGACTTGGAGTTGTTGGGTGAAGAACGTGTGCAGGACTAAGTAATAAAGCTCACTCTCTCCTTTCACATTTGCTCTAATAAATTTTTATTCTGAATGCAATTCTAGAAGGAGTGAAATGAAATGGAGAGTCAAAGGGACACGGGAAGGGGTGCAGATAGCAGAAATCCTTCCTTCTCCCCCACATAGATGCCAGTATCTGTGGGTGAAAAAGAGTGACAGCTAAGAACAAAGAGAACTTTTATGTTTGCCTCAGTCGAGTCACTGAAAGTGAGTTTTTAAATCTGCTGAACCACATTACCCCGTAACTTCTCCTTGCAGAGCATTCTGTCCCTACCAAGCTGCCCCATTAGTTGTATTTTTTAAAAAATAATTAAGGAGAATTATAACAGGCAGTTTTATATAAGATTTGTTTATTCAAATTTTTACTAACAATAAAAATTTTCCTAAATATTTACCTTGCCGTGTGTCCTTAAGCTACTTGAAAACTACTGAGAGCAAAGAAAAATCATTGAAAATTTTTGTGAGTTCATACAATTAGACTTGCTTTTATCAATTTTCTAATTAAATAAAGATCAAAATCATCAGTTTTATGCCAGAGAAAGAAAACAGAGAGAGAGATAGATGAAGGGAAGGAGGGAGGGAGAAGACAAGAAAAAGGTGCACGGAGAGAAGGACAGAAGGAAGAAATCAAGAAACAGGCATTTATCGAGCACCCACTATGATCCAAAACAGGGTCAGGCACTTTTATTAAGCATTCTCTCTCTTGCTCATTTAAGCCTCACAACAACTCTATGGCCCCCCTTTATTTTTGTTAGAGGAGAAAGCATATATTCAGCCATATTGCATTTGACATTTATGACAAGACATAGATGCAAGGAAGGCGAAATAAATCCTCCCACAAAACTTGGCACAGATATTGCTCTATAAGAATTTTCTTTCAAAAGCTTGTTTTTGATCCATAACCATTATAATTCCTGGCACTAGATATTGCTCTGGCCCTGAAAGGGGAAGCTCTGTAGATTGGCCCTTCTCCATATTAAGTGATGAGTTTGGCTCTTTGCAATTAAGTGCAGGATTCTGTCTGCTTCGGGAACATTGCTTGGGTTCATGTATAGTCTTGTTACCAGGAGCAAGCCTGATTTAGAGTTTTCCTGGATGAACCTCTTCAGGTAGGTAAAAAAAGAGAAGGGTCTGATGCCTTTAACCCTGGTCTGGAAGTGGTTCAAGGAAAGTTAGAAATAGAAAGAAAAGTTGTAGCCATTTGCTACATAATTGTAGGAGAAACTTTATAGTGATTTTTGGACATTTCTAGTGTTCAACAGTTAGCATGAAACATGGACTAGCATAGCACCTCTTCCAGGTAGCTTAAAATTAGTCTGCTCCCTTTCTATAACTTCCTTGGTTAGATCTGCAGCTATCTCTTGTTCTTAAACTGCTCCACTCTTCCTAAGAAATTCCAATGTTACATACCTGCTAGTAAGCAAGATGGATAGTTGCAGCTCACAGTTAATTATGTACAGTTTTAAAGCAGTCTGCAAGTCTCTGAAATAAGCACTGTCTGCATTTCCTGTGAATAGTTATAAGATGAACCTAAAAGATTGCTGGGTAATCAAGATCAATGACAGATTCACCAAAACAAACAAAAACCAGAATTCTGTATATTCTTTACTGTCTTCATTTTGTTGGGTCTTCATTGAGGTATTTATTTGCGGGCAACTTGCGCTTGCTACGGCAGGTATCTGTGCTCATTGGCTTATAGTTGTGGAGGGCAGTGAAAAGAAGGAAGGATGACAGAAAGGGTAGAAAATGAGATTAGAAAAGAGCATGGCTAAGTGGATAAAATGAGACATGACAGCATCTTTAACGGCTAAATCCGAAATTACTCCTTTTTCTTGATTGAATTAATCATAGTATTGTGAGTGCCAAATAAATAGGTAAAAACGATCAAAGTATCTGTAGCAAATTGTTTGAGAGAAGAATAACAATACGGATCCCAGTATGTTCGAGTGTTTTTGAAGGTGGAGCCCTGCATATAGCACTAACATTTTTTATCCTTATTAGTCTAATTCACTGATAGACTGCAGCTCAAAAAATATATGTTCAAAACAGTTTGCCACTCGCATATTCATGTTCGGAACAGTCTGACAAAAATAAAATTAGTCTTCAATGTTTATCTTTTATTTGGTAAATGAAATATGCAGCCATCTTCTGCATCTTTTGGGACTGCAAAATGGGGCTTGCTTGCCTGGTTACGTCAGCTTTCTTCCACAATACCAGCACCCAGGCAGCTACTGAGTCTCGGAAACTTTGCTCATAGTTAGCGTAAGCTGCCACCTGGTAAGTTAGGGCATTTTGGTCACAGCCTAGAAAACTGAAGAATTAGACTTCTTATAGGCATGATTATCTTATATGGAGATTCAAACATTTTAAACATGTTTTCTACCCATTAAAAAAAGTACATGACTTTATTAATAAAAATTATTTTTAGAGCAAGATTTTTTAAATTTCTGATTCTACTTTGCATTCCATATGTTATTCAATCTTTATAACCACCCTGTGACTGTCCCCCATTTTAATGTAAACAAACAAAATCTCAGAAATTTTAGGTGACTTTTATAACAGGGTTACCAATCTGGTATTTTATTTTATTTATTTTTTTAAAGATTTTATTTATTTTCCCCCCAAAGCCCCAGTAGATAGTTGTATGTCATAGCTGCACATCCTTCTAGTTGCTGTATGTGGGACGCGGCCTCAGCATGGCTGGAGAAGCAGTGTGTTGGTGCGCACCTGGGATCCGAACCCAGGCCGCCAGCAGGGGAGCACGCGCACTTAACCGCTAAGCCACGGGGCCGGCCCCAATCTGGTGTTTTAAATTGCATCTTTAAACCCTACATACACCAACCCTAAGTGCTAGAAATCGCGTTATTTCAGTCACTGCTTTATGTCATCGAGGATATCCTTGCAAACGGAGCAAAATGTTTTCTTTAGTTCTTTGTATTCAGTATCCTAAATAGGTTCTCATATATAGTCTATCAGAAGGAAAAGAGAGCGGGGATAAGTTTTAACATACTGTTCCCCAGATAGTTTTGCTGCTTTTACACTTGATGAAGTAAAAATAATGAAAACATTTTTTATGATTAAAAAAATGTTTGGTTTCTTGCTGACACATCAATCCCAGACTACCAACTCTAGGGTCTTATTAATACAGTAATCACATTTGGCATGAGCTTGAACTCTGAATATAAAATGGAGACTGTAGTCCAGCACTGTCTCAGGACCTTAAGTCACAGAAATATATAATCTGGTTGCATCAGAACAGAAGGAGTAAATTTGTTGCAGCAGAATCTACCACGGTCGTGTAGCTATGACCATACAGTTGAATTTCCTACTTCCACTCTTAGACATTCATGAAGAGTTCTATCTTTAGATTAGGTGGTTAGTTAAAGGAATACTTATATCTCACATGTGCATTTAACCGTCTTGTCCACTATAATTTTGCTGTCTGGTCTCAGAAAGGGGAAAAAAATACTTTGCACAATACTTATTTTTTGACTGTTAGTTTCTTCTTCTTAAGCAGATTGTTGTCATCTCTTCTCTTCTTTTGAGTCCAATTTTCCTGTAGTTTATGTCGATGGCTCTTGACGAAATGATAAAATGTTTCCAGGAAGCATGTGGATTGGAACTCTCTCTTGTTATGTTTATATTCGGCTTTATTTTAAAGGCAAGTGAGACAGCTTCAAATAAAACAACCCCAAGCTTCCAAGAAACAGTTAAGAGAAGGCAGAGACGAGCAGGAACACCCCTTCACTGACACTCACGCAGTTGCCATGGACCTTCATAAGCAGTGGGAGAACACAGAGACGAACTGGCACAAGGAAAAGATGGAATTACTGGACCAGTTTGACAATGAAAGGAAGGAATGGGAAAGTCAATGGAAGATCATGCAGAAGAAGATAGAAGAGGTACAAGTGGATTTGTTTTGAATGGATTGTAAACTTAAAGCTCAGAATGAAAATTCTGTTGAAGTTTGTTTGTGTTGGAAACCATTTTAATTTTCCTTATTCCACCTAAGAGATGCATGTCTCCATGACATTTACTAGACCAAAAATAGCATAACCTCACCCAATGGTATCACAGGGACTATGCTTATTTTATAGCCTTGCATGAAAATTAAGAACTTGAAATGTCACTTTAAAGTGTATCAATTTATTATTTTCTGACTAGAATGCCTTATCAAAAGTGAGGTCTGTATTTTGCATGAGTTTTCAAATATAGGGCCCAGGAGGAAAACGTAGAAAAGACATAATTGGTGGGAAATATATTAGCGAAATTACAATTAGGCATTAAAACAGAGATCTTTCCTAAGACGATTTATGAATAATGTCTACTAAAGGAAATTACATATTAGATAATTCAGTGTAATCAAAATGAGTGTCATATAGAAAACAGAAAATGGCAGTAGACATGATATTTATTCTGGCAGGGTGTGCCACATTTATTAGCACATTTATTAGGAAAGGGCTTATGAAAAATGACATGCCATGACTGCTACAAATGGTTATTTTATCCCCATTAACCATCCCTCAGCCTGTTGTGCCTGGAATATTTCCTTTAAGTATTTACAATGATGTATATTCAAGCTTGTTCCAACTGGAAATTATTTATGCTTATCTTGCTTTCTTCTGATAACATCCATGGTATTGACTTATATGGTTTTGTGCACATTGCCAAAGTCGTTATTTTAACAGACTCCTTGGCCTTTATTCACAGGCAATCAAAGCTGGCGCTTTATGTGTTTATAGTGCAAATATTTTTCTTATTAACAGCCATATAATTGGTTGTGAATAAAATACAAATTGGCATGCTAAATGGAAAAATTAAAAAGAGTAGATATTAAACTATTCCTCTGAAATAGAGCTGAGATGGCAGGCGTGTAGTGTATGATTAGAGATTGAAAGGAGAATCCACTTCTTGTCTCTCTAGAGTTTGGAAAATGTGTTTTGCTCACTCTCTTAGCTCCTCCACCCAGAGACTCAGATTGGATCCCCAGGAGAGCCTAGGTCAAATCAGAATCCAAACTCCAGTTAGAAACCTGCAGTCGTGGGTCATTGGCTCCCAAAGGTTTGGAAGGTCCACATAGCAACAACCTCAGATAATTCTAGCTTCCAAGCAAAATAATTTAAGGAGTCAGGTTAGTCTAGCCAATTGTTTAAGCCACGTAGCTAAAACAGTCTGCATCTGGTTAATTTTGTTATCGTCAAATAATTATTCTGACATCTCTGTAGAGTCCATCTGTGGTAAATATTAGCCATATCAATTAGCAAGAATTAAACATACTTTAAACAGGATCATAGTCCATAGAAATACTGTCTCTTTCTGCATCGAGACAGAATGGCTGTAATTTTTTATTCATCTTGGACAGTAGCTGTGGTGCTATTTGTGTCTTGCTGTCTGCAGTATACAGCTCCATACCTGGGAATATGTTTAGATAATGATCTTACCCATAATACCCATAGATGATGCTCTTCAATACCTGAATACTAGCATTATGTTCCCCTTATCATACTAATATATATTTCTTTTCTACTCCCAGCTTTGTAGCCTGTAAGAACGTACCTTTTGTACATCCCTTCTTAGAGGCTGCAAAGCTGGTAGTAGAAAAGATTGAGGAAGACAGCAGGAAAGTATCCACACATGTCACAGAGAATCAAGACAATTTTTTAAACTAAAATTAAAAAATCAACACTTGAAAAAATTATAACATGCCACAAGCATAATAAACTATATTTGTTTAACATTTATCACTAAGTTCTTTGTATTAAATCAGACACAAATTATTAAGCCGTGTATTAGAGAATTGTAGATTCCTAAGTGCACACACATAACTTTGGTGATTCCAAGTGATGATATCATCTAGTAAGAGGATCCAGCGTTGGGTAATTAAGACACTAATGATTCTCTGTTTAGCCTCTATCCACAACCATTGCATTTGCTTTGCAAATCCAAGATGTACATACTTGGATCATTTGAAACCTGATATAATCCAGATAGAATCCCTGGATAGAGTTAATACATGCCTCGGAATTTTTTTCACTCACGCTGTAATGTTTCCTGCTTGTCTTCTGTGTTCAGATGATCAGATAACCATCAACAAGGGCTGGGTACAGATTCTCTTATACAAAATAAGTAGTTTTCCATCAATAACATTTTGTTACTTGTTTATTCATACCTGGCTTAAGTCCCCAAGAGAACTTAAGATGGCATATAAAATTCTATATAAGGTAAAGTATGCCGAAACTAGAAGAGAAAGATGAGGTGAAGACAAGAGGAAGGATTGCATGTGAAATGCATGCAGCAAGTCTATCTTTCTAGTAACTAACACAAAAATTATCAGATGCATATTTCTCAATATTCAAAACACAAAAGCAAATCTATTTACCAGGAATAGCACTTTTGTCCCTGATTTTAAACTAAAGCAATTTTGTTTTTACCCATGGCTCTTCAAAGAGAAGACAGTGTCCCCAACAGCATCCTTAGATTTAACATAGTACTTTTGAGGGTTGCTTCTTACAGTATCCCTCAAGGTCAGCCAAAATCATAATGCCCACAACAGTTCAGTACAAATAATTTTACAGCGGCCAACACAGTTGATTCATGGCTGCAATTTGATGCTATTCTGACTTCATCCTGTGGTAGATTTCTGAGTATGTAGGGAAATAAATGCACTGTGTGTCCTTCAGGCATCAAGTACGTATAGTGCTTCTCTCATCTGAGATTTGGGTAAATACTGAGCAGCAACAAATCTGTATTATATTCCTTGAATAATAGATGTAGTGCAGACATAAGTTATGGCCGTAAAATGTAGAGTCACGTGTTTTAATAGTTGTCTGACTGTCTCCTTTGAAATTTGACAAGCTTTCCCAGAATTCAAGCCTGAAGAGAAAGCCAGTCCTTCCTCTATTCAGGAGTGAGCTGAATGAGTGCCGGCAGGTTAAACTAAGTCCTTGTCTAGAAATAATTTGGGGTCTGCTTTAACGTAGACTAATAGATGGTCAAAGCCTTAGAGTTCTATTGTATCACATAGGACAGGGTCACATTTGTTTTAATTAGGAGAAACTTTTTTAGAATGTGTATGGCCTTGGCATTAAAAAAAATCTCAGGGCTGGCCCTGTGATGTAGTGGTTAACTTTGCATGCTCCACTTCAGTGGCCCGGGGTTCACAGGTTCGGATCCCAGGCGTGCACCAACACACCACTTATCAAGCCATGCTGTGGTGGGGTCCCATATAAAGTAGAGGAGGATGGGCACAGATGTTAGCCGAGGGCCAATCTTCCTCAGCAAAAAGAGGAGGATTGGCAGCAGATGTTAGATCAGGGCTAATCTTCCTCACCAAAAAAAATCTCAGTTAATATCTAGCCCTCACCAAGGTAACTTCCAAAGGAAACATCATTTGATTGCAAAATGTCTACTTAGAGAACAGAATGAACTGACTTAACATATGAGATTCTCAACTTTTTAGACAGTTAAATGTCGGCATACCGGTAGGATCATACATTTCAAAAACATGACTGTAATATTTTACAGAAGCAAGTTAAATTCTTGCTTCTCTCTGAAAGCAATTAGAAAGCATGGCCAGTAATTGATTCAGGTCATTCCAATTTTGTGACAGTGCTTCTGTATCATCATGACATCTATATATAGATACACATTTATTTTATTTTTAAAAGAGTTGATTTCTACTCAGAAGATAGAAATTACCACCCATGCTTAGTCTTTTTGGTTCGTCAAACGGTTACAGCTAATCCAGATTTTAGAAGCACTATTTGGAGGCATAAGCATTAATATTCCAGGGTAGTATACAGTAATATAGCAAAGAGAACTCAAAACAGTGTGCTTAGCATCAAAAATATTGACAGAGTGAATTAGGGGGAAAAAAAATTCTTTGTTTCTCTTATAGCTTTGCCATGAAGTAAAGCTTCGGAGGAAAATCAACATGAATGAACGTGCTAAGACCATTGATCTTGATCGTGAGAAGGCCCATCAAGATAAAGTGGTAGAATCTTCTCCAAATTACCCCAATTCAGGACAATGTGAATTTACAGGGATGAATCACAGGGATGGTCTGGAAAAAGAAAATAAAACAGAGCAGAGCTTACTCAGTGAAGGAAATCAAATGTGTAAGGAACAAAAAGCAACAAAAAAATCAAAAGTCGGGTTTATGGGTCCTTTGGCCACAGACAGCCAAACGGAATGTGAGGCCTGGCCTGACCTGCGGACTTCTGAGGAAGAGAGCAAGAGCTGTTCTGGCGCCCTCACCACAGTAAGTGAGATGTAATTGGCCTAGAACTGTTGCTAAAGAAATATTTACATTTCGAAGTGCTAACATGCTATTGCTTATGTGTAAAGGCTCTTGAGGAACTTGCCAAAGTTAGTGAAGAATTATGCAGCTTTCAAGAGGAAATTCGAAGGCAGTCTAACCACAGAAGGTAGGCTGGTACATCTATGATTATTTTATTTGGAAAATCAAGAAAAATATTATTTTCAGTTAATGAGTCCAAACTGCCTCCTCCTTACACTTTGTTAGTGAAAATTAACGAGTTATTAAAATCTGTTACCTTAGAAGATAAAAATTTTAATCGTATATTTCTCCATTCACTAATTCTTAAAGCAAATCTTCTAATTCTCTTTATAATTTGACTTTACCCTTTTGGTGTTTAGTTAGGGTGTACTCTCCATGATAAATTAACAAGTATCTTCTAATATAATTCTTTTTTATTTTGGGTATTTGGCCAGTGGAAAAGTATACAGCTGGGCGAATCCAGTTAAATACGTCTTTAAACTATGTCAGATTTTACAATGTGGTGTTTTAATTATACAATGATGTTCTACTGAAATATTTTATACCTAAGAGTTATTTATTTCTCTACATTCATTATGTATATAATGGAAGCATATATAATTTTCAGAGCAACATATTTATAAGTATGTACACACATATATACAATGCTATAAAAATGCTGTTTCAGTTCAGAAACACCTATATAATTGTAAAAGTAAGTTTTAGCTAAATTAAAAAATAAGTTGGAATTTTCCACAAGTTAAGTAAAGATGGATTGTTCTAGAATCAACATTTATCTCCCAGTGAGACAGTATGCTTTTCTCTTTGAAAGCTATAGCAATGTATACCCTTCTTTTTCTTTAGGTCTAAGGAAGCTCAGAGAGAATTTGTACTAACTTACAATAGATTTTCTCATCCAACCGTGTTTTATACATAATTTTACCCTCTACTTGTCCATTTAGCTTTTGCCTACTATTCTCTGTTAATGCGTTTATGCTTTATTGTAAGCTTTCTCAGAATATTTTATAAATTGAAGAGATATAAATATGATTTATATTTATCAATATGATTAATTAACTTTAATTTGTGAATCCATATTGTTGCTATATTTAGATTTTTATTTTGATTGAACTCAGAAAAGACTTACTTGCCAATTTTCTCTTACAAATCACACCTGGTATAATGTTCTCCTTGTTAATCCATGACCTTTAGAAAAAAGTTCAAAATCCTTAATATGTAATTCAAAGACATTCCAATTTAACCTAATGTTTCTCTCTTATTTTCCATCATCCTCCCTACCCTGCTTTATAATCCACCCACACCAAAGTACTCACTGTTCCTTGAATAACCACTCAATTTTTATTACAGCTCACTTTGCCTATATGCCCTCTACTCCACTCATCCAAAAAATTCTTACTTTTCTTTCAAGCCCAAATGACACCTTCCATTTGGTATTACTCATGTCTCATTGCACTCTTATTCATATTTCTGTCATACTACTTAGAATGTTATTTCAAATTCAAGGGGTGGAACTTGAACTCACATGACATAATGAATAGGAATTCAGTAGGCAGAGCTGAGGTAAAGAAATGGCAAGAAAAAACCTATAGAAATGAGAAAGCCAATAGCAGACACCCACACAGTCTAGTCTGAGTGTAGGTGAAGTTTCAGATAATAGAAAAAATGAAAGACAAGGTTGGAAAGATAGTTCGGGTCAGAGTATGTAGAGCCTTGAATGCAACACTCTGAGGTGGGCTTTATCCTACTTTAAAAGGGACTCGGAGGTTTTGACTAGGGGATTTATATAAAAATGATGTCTGAGGAAGTTGTGACTCCTTTTCCTAAAGCAGAAATCCATTGCTTAAGCTATGGTTTCTTTTAAGAACTTATCCTAAATAAAATTATTACTAATATATACCATGTTTTATAATTATTTAGGATGAAGTCAGATTCTTTTCTCCAGGAAATGCCAAATGCAATTAATATGCCTCATGGAGACTACATGATCAGTGATGGCCAGTGCATTCTTCCAATCAATTTAGAGAAAGAAAAACAGAAAAATAAAAAGAAACTGAACTGTACCAATGTGCTCCAAAGCAATTCTGTGAAAAAATGTGGAATTGATACCATTGATCTGCAAAGAAATGAAACTCCACCAGTTCCTCCTCCAAGAAGCACATCTCGAAATTTTCCCAGCTCATATTCTGAACAAGCCCATGAAAGTCTGAAGGAAAGTTTAGATCACAGCAGCTGGGTAGCCCAAAAGGGTCAAGGTGAAAGGACCTGCAATCCTCATTTCCTTTTGAGGCACAATGAGATGGCTACACGGTGTCTAAGTGAGGGGAAGACTTTGAAAGATGGTATCATGTTTTCTCCTCTGGCACCAGAAGCCAGAATAGATAACAAGCCTCCATATGATGAAAATGTTGGGCTTAGCATGTGGTCATTCGACATTGGGAAAGGTGCAAAAAATAGCCCCTCTACATTGTGGTTTCAGAAAACCTGCTCTACTCCCAATAAGCCAAAATATGAAAAGGTGATCCCAGATCACCCTGCTAAATCTCATCCTGACCTTCATATAGGCAATGACTATAGCTCCTCAGTGACACAGAGCAGTGGCCCACTTAGAAGTTTCAGTTGTGGCTTTGAAAGGACTACGAGGAATGAAAAGCTAGCAGCAAAGACTGATGAATTTAACAGAACTGTGTTTAGAACAGATAGACATTGTCATGCAATACAGCAAAATCAAAGCTACTCGGAATCATCTGAAGATCTTAAGCCCTGTGGTACCTTAATTACTCATGCAGGTAACATATCAGAAAATGACAGTGTGTCTGGTATTCTGAAAACCAGTGCCCACATGCCTGTGCCCAGGGAAAATGTGGCTGATAATCCCACCAAAAAATGCACAACAGGTCTGGTGAGACAAACGCAGGAACACGTAAGTCCTAGCAGTTATCGTAATATGCTCCACGAGCATGACTGGAGACCAAGTAATCTGTCTGGCCGGCCAAGATCAGCTGATCCTAGGTCAAATTATGGTGTTGTGGAAAAGCTGATGAAAACCTATGAGACAGCAACAGGGTCTGCCTTACAAAATTCTAAGTGCTTCCAGGATAATTGGACCAAATGGAATTCTGATGTCAGTGGTGGGGCCACATTAAGTCAGCATTTAGAAACGCTCCAAATAGAACAAGAGCTTCAGCGAAAGACAGCCATGTGTGGGGCACAGCAAGTGAAGCAAGGAGTAGATCGGAAAAAGATAACAGAGGTGAGAAAGCAATGAATATATTTGGTAGAACTCCATCCACGTTTGACTCCGAGTTCAGTCAATTGCCCGTTCACGGCAATGGAACGTAGGCACATGTTTTGGCATCTTCTCAAGTTCTTGACATGTCATTTGTGAATAAATATGGACCTTAGAATTATAACTCAACATGAACTTTTTAAAGGGTAGTTTTTAAGACTGGGAATAGCACATTATAACTTTTTCTTAAATTCTGAAATGGGACAAAATAAATATAATAAATGGGCTTAAGAACCTCATGTCAAAGGTTTTTTGTAAATTTCTTTCCTGAAAAAATATTCCAAAGGTGCATTTGTTGATTTATAGAATTTTATTCTTTTGAAGTGTTTAGATTTTAAGAAGTATATGGGAAATAGTTTTAAAATAACTTGCACTTTTCAGTTGTTAGCTATGATTGGTTCAGTCATCCCCAGCGTTTGATTTACGTTCTTTCTCATAGGATTAGTCACACGAATGTGAGTATGGGTAAAACACATCATTTAAAATAGTGCCTTATAAGGTTCTCTTAAAAACTTTAAGAGCTAAAAGGCAAGTACAGGAAAACAAAAACTAATGTGATAACTTAAGAATGTTTAAAATTGTTCTTATTTGTATAAATTCTTAGCGTGGAAATTGCCAAAAAAAAGAGGATATTTAAATAGACTGTTATCCTTTTCTTGTTCCAATCTGTTTGCAAAAGAATCTAGTCTTCGTTAACAGGAGAAAAAGGGGTTGAAGAGATTGATATTTACAAAGAAGAGCTACCCAACAGTCCTTTTTTATGCATAATTTACTGCAAGTTACAAGGTGACAAATTGTTATAATTAGCCAATGCTTCGAAAATCCTAGTTTTACATAATGCAGTGTGTATGCAGCATTGTTTTAAGCTATGCAGGTTGCCTCCTGATGTAAAAATATTATTTTTATGTGGCTTTCAAACCCTACGAAAATATCAGTTTTCATCTGTTTTATCAGAAAACTTGCCTGTTTGCACAAGGTACAAATAATTATTCTGCGTTTGTATTTCTCTGTTTTTTTGTGTGTGTGTGAGGACGATTAGCCCTGAGCTAACATCCACTGCCAATCCTCCTCTTTTTTGCTGAGGAACATTGGCCCGGGGCTAACATCTGTGCCCATCTTCCTTTACTTTATATGGGACACTGCCACAGCGTGGCTTGACAAGCGGTGCGTCAGTGAAGCAGAGCGCGCACCCTTAACTGCTATGCCACCGGGCCGGCCCCTGTATTGCTCTGTTTTTTAGTTGAGCCCATAAATACCTGTACGGTTCTGTAGCTTCACATGGGAAATGGAAACATTTATACGATAACTAGCCAAAATTCTCATTAGCTAACAAGAAATATTACTAAATATTTCCCATTTCTGCATTAATTGGGGGTTAGGGAGGAGTCCTCTATTGTAGTTCCTTAGTAGTAGTTCTCCATCACCCTTCCCCAGAAACAAATCTAAAAAAATAAAATTCCAAAGAGATAAAAACAAATGCATGTTATTGTCGTAGAAACAGAGACCAACCTCACTGTCCATCTCAGATGACAGAGCACAGGCTTTGTTAAGAAGGTCAATAAGAACCGAAGGCATAAAACGTGTCATGAAAGCCTTTTAATTTTTTTTAATTGCAAAGGTCCAAGGATGCTTTTCTTCCATTAAAATAAAAAGAAAGAAAAGAAGGAAGAAATGAAAGAAAGGGAAGGAAAGAGAAGGAAAAGGTTTTCACTCATCAGAAGACGCCCAATATAGATAGTAACCCTTTATTAGCAATTAGAATGAAGTTTTATTTAAAGTTTTTTAATGGTAATGTTGAAACTGTTTAGAGATAGTAAGTGGTTCTTAACGAAAAAAAAGATGGCATCAGATAAATCATTTAGTGGTTTGTGTGCCTTTTGCTTATGACCTCTAAAAGTGTCAATAACTTGACATAAATGTACACAGTTTCTTTTGTTATCTTTTTATTTTTAAATAATGCTCAAATATCCTAATATCCCACTAAGAAACATCTATAGTTTTATCATATCAAAGTTATCTAACATGAACTTTTGAATCCTCAACTCATTAGTTCTGAAAAGAGATCAGTTGTGTTAAAATTTGTCACCATGAAGAAATCTACAAGATTATGAAATGCTATATTCGTATTAAAAGTGAATTGCTTTGATTAAGACATTCAAGACCACAAATACTATACAAATACCTTCTTCAGTTTTTGATGCTTTTTCTTGCTTGTAAATAAGCTACTACATTAATCCCATAGTTGAGATGCATAATATATTGAGCCCATTGTTGGTGCCTTTATAGTGAGATGAATGTCTTCATTTGTGTCATAGGAATCCATGGCAGTGAAGTCCTCACATGGAAAAGGATTTTCCCGACCTGCTAGACCAGCAAATCGCCGTCTCCCGTCCAGATGGGCATCCAGATCTCCATCGGCTCCCCCTGCCTTTCAGAGAACTGCCCACAGTTATGCCATTTCTCTGCGATCTGAAGCATCGATGGTCTGAGTCTCTGGCCTGGATTGCTTGGTTACAGAAGTCCCAATTGCCAAACAGAGCATTCTGAGTGTTTACAGCCAATCCTGTCTCTTACAGTATCTTTCAAGATCACTGGGACAAACAGTTTAAAACTTAACTTCCCATCAGTCTTCAGTGTTTTTAATCTATGGAATAATTATCTTCCTGTATTTTGATTTATTAGATCAGAATTTTTTAATGCCATCTTCATGAGATTTGCCAACATGATTTAAGTTGAAACAATGTACTATATTGTATATTCTAACTTTCTTGCGAGTGGCAGAAAAAGCAAGTTTATGTGCATGCCATGTGTTTGTAGGTGCATGTGTTGAAACAGGAAATATCTTAGTATGTATTTAGATAAGAAAAATTTATGTGCTAGTGTTGACTTTGAAATTATAACATGTATACCTATATATTCTTTGTGTTTATTTAAAATTTTTTAAAATATACAGTATTATTTATATTTTGTATACCTTTTAATAGGTATCCACTTAAGGCATTTGAGATATATATATTAACTAATCACTTCCTTGGCCCCAACTACATTGAAAAATAATTACACACGTATCTAACATTGGTATATTTCTATATACAACTCATAGTTTCTTAACCCATATGAGGATAGACTAATACCATTGATCTCCTTGTTTTCTCTTTTAAATATATAAAATTGTCACGGGTTTAACAGATCAGCCTTCTAAAGCAAACATAAAATGTTCATAAAATCTTTGTTATATCATTTGGTAGTCTATTACGGCTTTTACTGAATACTCGATACTTAGAGCTAGTATCATGAGACTGCCTTATAAACGATATGACTAAGTAATGAATTTATTTTGTCAACTTCAGTAACAAACATTCCTTAAATGGGATATGAAAAGAAATTCAATTATGTTGAATTCTACTTTTTGTTAAAATTATTGTAAACTTTTAGTTCAGCTACTTTATTTGGAGTCATACATATTGAAAGGTAAGTCCTTTACTTTTTCCTTTTTCTAACGTTTCCCCTAAAATTAGTAGATAAAAGACTAATTCACTTTTTTTATTAATAAGGAAAATCAGGAATGACATCTCACTGAGAGCTGAAATATAATATATTTCTTAGAGTGTGCTACATTAAAAAAGCCTTAAGCTAAACTTTGGCATCCGTGAGTAGCATAAGAAACAGAAACGATTTTTTTGGCCACAATTTGCGAACAGTGAACACAAAATCTGTATTGAGAACTGACAGAAAAATGAATGTTGAAGTGCTTGGAATTCTACATGGAAGCTCTTAGAAGCAACTTTGCTCTCCATTGTCTCTTATAAAACCAACGATGTTATTAGAATATTAATTCTATTTAAGCTTTTCTTTTACTACAAAAAAGGTTAAGGAATTCTTATGATAAAAGTATTCAAGGAGCCTTCTGCTTATGATATATTCTCACAGTTTAGAGAAATTCACTTCATTGTACACCATGACTTCACGTAAAGTAATAATTTTACAATCCCAGACTGCCTTAAAAGGCTCAAGACTGTTGCATAATGATGGACAGATTCATACTTTCCAATAAAGAGAGTTTCCAGGAATTGAGCTGAATTAAACTTCTGGAGCGTGAGGTTGGAGCAGATGCACATGGTAAGTAAGGACTATGGATCCACTCTAAATTCTTATTTCTTTCAGGGATATCCTTTTCCATAGGAAGCCTATCAGAGAAAAGTAACCTAGACGCCAAACGATGTCACTCATATAATATGCTTTTCATCTAGAGGGAGAAAACACTGGGGAGGTGGTAGCCTGTGGCATAAAGTGATGGACGTGTTAACAAGATGCTGCTGTGTAATATTGGAGAGCCTGCCTAAGAACCATGAGACATCTCTGTTCCTCTCCATTGCTGTATCCCAGGTAGTCTGATGTGGATCTGTGGTTCTCACCTTCAACTACTTGTCAGAATATTGAGGATCTCTTTTTAAAACTTAGATTCCTAACCTCAACCCATAATTACTAAAGCAAAATTTCCAAGGGTAGGGAGTGGGAATCTTGAATCTTTAATAAAACAAAGCAAACTCTTTGACGATTAGGGAGCTTTAGAAGCAGTGACATTGATTGATACCCTAATGGATGGGTACGGTTGGGTAGTCACAGTCACGCTACTTCCCTGGAACTTGCCTTTGTTGTCTGTAAATTAAAAGGGTTCTATTGTCAGGCTTCACAATTTTAAGCCACCTTTTCTATTACCATTTGAATGAAACAGTGGGACACAATTTTAACATTTTATGTTGACTAAAATCATAGAATATTAAAGCTGAAAAAAAAAGCATCTGGTCCAACTCCTTGATAGTAAGGATGAAGAAACTAAAACAGATTATTTGAATGTCCTGCTTTGTCTCTTAAAATATTTTATAGTTTTTTTTGTGAAAACAACCTATCAGGTAAATGGAAATTATCCTTGAAAAATATTTTCTGATGTATTGTGATTTGTAACCTGTAGTTTTTCTACTTTGGATGGGCATTTTCTTCCCAACAACATACTTATGCTATCATTGCTGGACATAAGGGATTTGTAAATATTTCAGAAATATTTCATTAGAAGCACGTGTGTTAATAGAAGTTTTCCCTAGCATACTTTTGGGGGAAAAATCTTTAAAGAGAAGGTTACTGATATGGGTTGATCTCAGAAAGGAAGAAGAGTGAGGCAGAGAAGAGCACTTGAGTTTCTGGGTGTGTGTGTGTGTGTGTGTGTGCGCGCGCATGCACAACCTTGCATGAGTTTTCTATATTGCCTTATGTTCAAAGCCAAATATAAAAATATAAATAATTTTTGCATAATTCACCTTATAAAGAATTATCCACAACTTTCATTTGTTTTTACATAGACCATGAAGATGACCAGATATTATCATGCACCAAACACAATTTACTTCTCCATGGAGGATTTAGCCAGACTCCATGTCATCCTGAGAAAACACCTGGACCTCAAAAAGAGAATCTGCTTCCCTACAAAGATTTTTAAAATTATTTTAGGCACATTTGCTGACAAACAACACTTGGTATTGAAATTTCCTTCAGCCACTGGAGGCTATCAAATAAAATAGGTGTGGAAACAACTACTGTGGCATCTATATACGTTGAGAACATTTTGATTTTCCTCCTTATCTACAGTGATCTCCATTAAGCTGAGAATTTTATAAAGTCTAAATTTAAATATGTACACAGTTCAAGTACTAGCTTCCCCTAAAATATCTCTATGTAGTAGAATCTAAAAGCAAAGCCTGCCTGAATTCCTGCACATGCACAACCCATTATAATTTCTTATACACTGACATCCACTCTGTGCCTATTTAATTGCTTATGGAGTCTGATTATATTTTGTTTGAAAAAGGCATACTCCTCTGAAATTTGCCTTTACATGATAAAATTCATTAAATTATTTTTAGGTAGATTCAGATTTCTATTATAGTACTATTTTGCTTCAAATTCTGCACGTTTCTTCCTAAGTAGCAAGTAGCTTTATCTGACTTCGCAACTATGACTTATTTATTTTATCATACCCCATAAAATATGCCCCTTCAAAAAATGGGCTTCATAAAGTAAAAATCAAAACAAAAGAAAGATTGGGAGGATGACCTTTCAGGCAAGAATCTACACATTTTTTACAGTAGGAATTTTTCTTATCATAAGAAATAATTTTTATTTCACTAGGGAAAAAATGATAAGGCTTAAAATCTGATACATATTGCAGTGATCTTATGAATCAACAGGTAAGATTGGCAAATTCTGAAAAAAGTTCTGCTTATATAAAGCTAGTATGGAATCTAGAAGTGAGGAAAGAGTCTAGAATAGGAAGGACCTTATAAGTCACGGAGAACAGTCTCAGTTAGAAGTGAGAAACCTGAAACTCGGAGCGGTCAGCATGGCTGCCAAGGTTACAGGGATGGGAACTAAGCCAGGTTCCAACACCAGTGTCCTGCCTTGCTGTATACCCATGTATACAGCGTCTGTGATTTGGTGGTTTGCAAAGCAGGTTCATACTCCTTGATTTGTTTGCTTCTTAAAACGAAACTTCAAGGCAGCCGTTGTGATGTCTAATTACAGAAGAAAAAATTAAACAGCCAAAATAATAGAATAAATGTTTCCCCAGATAATATTTAGAAAGAAATAGGTAGCTCTGCCGACTCCTAGTTAGGCTTTTTTCTCAAAGAAGAGGAAGAGAAAGGCAAAGAGCAAACAGTTGTGTTTTATGCATGATGATGAAGTTGTTTATTTTGCTGACATTGACAGTTTCTCTTAATTTTGTCTTTCAATGACCTTAACTGAAAGTCATCATTCATAATTTATATGGTTTCAATGGTTTCAAGAGATCATATTCAAGAAATCATGAAGAAGGTTCACTTTATCAAAATATTGTTCATTTTTAATGCCTATACTCTGATATTATATAAATTTTGTATGTAGGCCAAAATGTTGAAGGTAAAACCAATAAGTATTTCAATAAGCAGCCAAAGCAATCCTTATCTATAGCATCAACTAAATCCTGACCTCCTCAGTCTTAAAGAATCACAGAAAATTTTCGTGCTATATGACTTAAATGTGCTCCAGAGTAAATGAGAGCATCTTGCTTGAAGCATGTAGTTATTTTCAATTTATAATCTCAATCCAACCTTAATTGTGTCCCACCAATTTCTTTTTGAGGCTTTATTCTCCAATTAAATTATTTACTCATGCAATTTTATAAAAATCATTAAATTTAATCCAGGTATTTGGGATCTGCAGATTTTTTCCTAGATAATGCTATTTGGCTTCAAAATAATGCCAAATTACATAACCTAAATTATATATATTTTCATGTCAATCTTTGCAAGAAATTTTGTGTTAAAATTAACTCAGTAAAATATTCTCTGAGTTAATGATATCTGGAATGAAATAGTTAATTAGCAATAAAAGCCAGAGAACCATTAACAACATTTTTTTTGTGTGAGGAAGATCGGCCCTGAGCTAACATCTGCCAATCCTCCTCTTTTTGCTCAGGAAGACTGGCCCTGGGCTAACATCCGTGCACATCTTCCTCCACTTTATATGGGACACTGCCACAGCATGGCCTGAGAAGCGGTGCTTCTGTGCGCGCCCGGGATCCGAACCGGTGAACCCCGGGCTGCCACAGTGGAGCGCGCACTTAACCGCTTGTGCCACTGGGCCGGCCCCAACAATATTTTTAAAAGAGGGTTACATGTAGGAGTGAAGGGGGACAATAGTCTGTATACGTTAAAACTCAGGAGATGAAGCACTGGGAATAAAGATTCTTCCTTGGAAATCCCAGGCAAGGAGAGGGGAGTTGAAATCAGACACGTCACTTTGTTAAAAAGGAAGCTGGTGGTGGTGTAGCCCAGTGACCTAAAGCTAAAAGAATTCATGACGTATCCAACTCAGCAAAAGCAAGCACTAGGCTTTCCCTGACAGTTCAAGAACCTGGGAAAAACACAACATCAAGGACTCCAGGGTGGACCATGCTCAGGAGTCAGGCAGGTGGTCATCCTCGAGGAGATTCTTCATAATACAGCAGACACTCGACACTGAGTCCAGGGCCAGGAGAGGAATGAAGTGTCCAGGAAAGGATATTGGCAAAAGCGAGATACTGGATCAAGAAGCTCAGTCCTGGGAATCAGCATGTAGGAAAGTTAAGAGATGAAGCTAGAGGTAGGGAGGGAAGTTTTCATTGGAAATAGGAATGGAGAGGTCTTCACCAACACACCAGATCTTTACTGAAGTTGGGAGCCAAGAAGACTTGGGTAGCAAGTGAAGCACCCATTTGAAGGCAACGAGGAGTGTAACCATCATGAAGCTGAGATAAATGGAGGGTCAGTGCAGCTTGAGCTCTCATCTAGGATATTGTACAGACTAAAATTGATAGGAGGCCATCAGAGGTAAAGATGATGAAGTGTGGACCAAAACTCTCTTCTCTTTACCTTCTCTTTATTGTTATTTTCTTGTGATTCTATCACCACAATCTAAAATTTTTATCTAGATAAGCTGAGAAAATAAGCCATCTATACCTTCATTTAATAGACCATACAGCAAAATTAGATACCCCGGAAATTGAAAGTGATATTTTTCTGCAATAAAAGTTTAAAGATAGGTACATAATCAAAGGGTAAGACCATTTTTAGAAGAATTTAGAAAATTACACAAAATTGTCTGTATATATGAAGTGAGTGAGCATAGGGAACACCCAGATTGCATCCGAGAAT